ATAGACAGGGCGGATTAATATCTCTGGGGGCCCTAGGCTGACATCCCCCCCCCCCTCCCAAAAAAACAGGACACCAAGCTTTTTTTTAGCTGGAGGAGAAATTAAAACAATGTAATAATCTTTTAATCAGCATTCAAGATACGGGTGGTAAAGCTTGTCAAACAGGGTGGGGTGGGGTGTGAGCAGATTTGACTATTTCAGGTTTCTAAAAGTGGCAGCGTCTTGTTCGTATTGCCCGTTTATGACCTCTGACCCCTGCCTCGGGCCCCACCCAGAAGTCCGATAAGCGAACCGCTCCCATCCACTTGCTCCGGCTCCCTGCGATTCACTTGGCCTGAACGGGAACCAACATGCAACTGACCACGCGGGATGAGTGATGACAGGAAGTGACACGCGGGATGAGTGATGACAGGAAGTGACACGCGGGTTGAGTGTTGAGAGGAATAATGCAGACGGGCGTGTGCCCGGCCGCTGCTGGGTGGAACTGGGAGTAGCTGGTTCCGCTGTGGCTACGGCAGCAGGTGAGCAAGGGACACACATCTTACCATGGGAGCAGGGCAAGATCCTTAGCTTGTCCCCGTCCTCGTACTCGTCCAGGCAAATGGCGCACATGTCATACTCGTCACCTGCGAGAGAAGGACAGAGGAGAGAGCTGAGGACTAGCAGGTGACAGGAAGGGGGCCCCTCTCGCCCCCACACCTGAAAACGAGGAATCTCGACTGCTCCCGTACATACGCAGCGGGCTTGACACTCTGCAGAGATGCTGCCAGATGCAAATCAGTATCATTTTACATTTACATCTCGTTATGCTTTTAACCAAAGTGACATACATTTTTTTAGAAAGCGGAGTCAACCAGCGCCTAGAGAAACTGCGGGTTAAGGGCCTTGCATCAGTCTGTCGACCCTGGGATTTGAACTGACAACCTTCCGATCTCAGTATTCTAAGGCACTGAGCTACACACCCATATGTGTCTATATAAATACATATATGTAGATTGTTATTGATTCCCCCAAGACACAATATACTGTGCAGCTTAATGCATATATATGCATATATATGAATATATTAATTATAATAATTTCCTCACAAAGCTGAAACAATGCAATTGTCACTGAGATGTCACTGCCATGCACGAATGCCTCCCAGACATCCAGGTGTGCACGCACATGCACGCACACGCACACACACACACATCGATGCATTCTCAGGCACACGCTTATGTGCACACGCAACCGGACCCTGCGGTTGTGACATGGCTCGCCGACCCGATGATGTCTGGGAGCCTTTTGGGCAAAAATTATGGGAAAGAGGGAAGAGAACCCCATCGGGCCACAGGGATGGGTGGGCAGAGAAGAGACCGACCAAGGTAAAATGGAAATAGTCATGCAAAAACGCCAAGAATACAGCCATGGAATGCAAATCCACTGCGGTCTGCGTGTCAAACGTGGCATAGGTCTATAATCTGAACCACTTCTGCTGTGTCACGTCACGTCACAGGGCTCCAGTCAGCCAGATACAGGCCGGCGCTTAAGGTAACGAGGTGATTAAAGAGAGGAAAACAGGCAGAGAGTAAAAGACAGGAACCCGGAAACGAGGGGAGGCAGCAAAACCAGATCCAGTGAGCTTCAAACGGACGGACGGGCCGGCGCTTCTGCTACTCCCTGCCAAAGCAACCGCAGAAAGTTGTTTTCAGAAGGATATTCATATAATAAACAAAGGCTGACTCCGCCCACCAGCTCCCAGAAGCCCCCAGGAATTCCTGTCCGTCGACATTCCTCCACATAACTGTTCGACGGGCATGCGATGGGTGAGACATGCACCTCGTCCAGACAGCTAGCCTTAACCGGAGCGGCGCTGCTCTCGTTCATTACCCCTGACATCATACCGACAGGAGCCTGGGAAAGCTATGTTAGCGCTTAGCGCTGAGGGCTAAGACATGGTGCCGGTTCAGCTGGCTTGTGGAGGAGTTTCCAAACTGGGTGAGAGGCGCAGCCAACGCATGTCAGGTCACATCTGAGTTAGTTATGCGGTTGGGCCCAAATGTCTGTTGCTGCAAGCAGCTTTAATGAAATATTACTGTCCGGTAATAATAGTACCAAAACAATAGAGAAAGGTCTCCCAGGCATCTAACATGTCTTCTCAGGTCAGGTCAGATAAACAAGTACTGTCTGTAGATTTTCCCTGCAAAGCTCTGGGCTGAATCTTTGCAAGGAAGGCAGGAACACAGCTGTAACAATATCGCAACTGCATGAATGAGAAATAATGTAGAATGAGGAAGATGTTCCTTCAGACAAGCTCTTTCGGTTCTCATATGCACCTGGGACTCGACACAAGAGAAACTGCCGATGGTTTTTGGTCGCTGCATCAGCACATGGGGCAGATGATGTCAGGCCGGACATGGGCTCAGAACCCACACGTTCAGGCAGCCAGAGAAATGTTTCATCTGCTCAGATCCACAAGGTTCCTCGGCTGATTTCTCTGTCTGTGCTTCGTGTTCACGATTGACCCAGAACCCAGGGTACTTCTCTTTCCTTTAGGTCCTCAAATCATGATGTATTCTGAAAACAAAAACTGAATGGCAGCCTTTTAAGAGCGGAGATTATCCAGGCTGTACTGGAGGACCTCTGAAGAGACACGGGGGCAGCTAAAAATAGCCGAGCTCTTCCTGTTACATCATAGTCTCAGAACGGCTTGCTGAGGCCTAAACTGGCCACGCTTACAGATGCGTGCAGGTATCTCACATTCCTTTGCGCTCCTTGTATCTCCTGCTGCCCATCATATGTCCGACACACAGATGAACTGATTTCCTGATCTCAAGAGATTAAAAATAAACAAAGGTGTCTCAGAACAGAACTTTGTTGAGCCCCACAGAAGCCGCTGGCCAAACAGGAAATCAAGGCCACTTCCTGTTTGCCAGAACGTTCCCACTGCCACCTGTACACACTACGTGGGACTTCACAGCTACCAGTATACAGGCACATGTTTATGAGAGTATGTGCCCAGAAAAGGACAGCTTCCCATGCCTTGTGCCCCGTCTTTCCCAGGAAGGTGATTTAGGATTTTAATATGACATCATCCCCATCTATATAGGAACTTTTTCCATATTTTTGGTACTTTCGCTTTTCCATTGACTTCCAGTCGAGTACCAGTACCAAAAGTGCCAAAGCAGCTTGAGTATTTCTTTGGTACTTCAGAACTTTGGGGTGGGACTTGAAATGCTTTCTTTGGCGAATGCTTATGCAAATAGCCTGCCGCTGAAACACAATACAACTGGAAATACAACGGAAAAAGTTGCGAACTCAAAAAACAACAATAAAAAGAGTTAAAAAAAATATATATTAATTGAGATCCAGTCGGAAGAACAGATATAACAAAAAGATCAGGATGGCATGACAAAAAAAATATATAAACTATTTTAATACTTAAAATAATATACAGCGTGTTGTCCTAGCAATGCGATTGTGTGCATGGTGTAGCAGAAAAGTGCTCTATGTGAGCACCGGACAGCTGACAGACCTGGTTTGGCCTGATTCCTACACTCTGTGCCCAAAGCCATTATTTTTGTAAGCTGGACCACAGCCAGAGTCAAACCCCGAGCCAGTAACGGGAAGACAGCTGCCCTCTGCTTCCCGGTTCCTCCTCCTTGTGATGTTTCGCTAAACAGGAAGTCCTGTGGAACTCCCCCACATTTTTTTGGTTTTGTCCTTGAAACAGGAAAGTATGCACTACAAATCTGGGGAGTTGTTTAACAGCTGAAAACTCTGCATCACACGGTTCTGTGACACCCCACTGGCACACGGTCATGCGATTCCTCAGGATCCCCAGAACGGTACCTTACAAACCATGCAAAAGCCAAGATCCTTGCAGTGCTCAGTGAAAAAATGTGCACAAACTCGATGTGAGGGATAAACATATCGAGGGCAGGACAGTGCAGGTGAGGACTAGGCAACAGGAACACGAAACAAGGAACCATGCAGGATATTGCATGTTCCCATAACTTAAAGTGGCACACTAGCCAAGCCTGTTCTGTCCGGCCCCTGCTAACTGCTGATTGGCCAGTGTTACGATGATTGACATGCAGCTCCTCTTTTTGCAGCCTCACCCCTTCGGCACAATGCCAGCCGATTGGCCGATTGAGCGTGAAGCAAACAAGGTTACAGAGGCTGAACACAGGGATCTGGATGGGATGCAGGCAAAGCTGACAACCGAGATTAAAGAAGAACTGAAAATGGGTGGAGTAGGGGGGCACTTAAAAATGAAACCAACAAGAAGAATAGTAAATTTCTAAAAAATAACTAAACAACAAGACCTTACAAAAAAACCTGACAGGGAGGGAGGAGCTCACTGACAATAAGGCAGTCAGTTTGGAAGCATGAACCACTGAAGAAAAGACTCTACTATGGTGCCAGTTCCCACAGGATTAAATTAACCAAGTCTGCCTGCTCCATCTCTGAAGTTCACTCTCAACTCCCCAAAAGCGTGTTGAAAGGCAGGAAGTTTCCCCAATTATGATGCTGAGTGAAGAGCGCTGGAAGCTCAGAGCTCAGAGCTCAGCGTCAATGTTATCTGCTCCTGTCAAACGACTGTGAGTGGAGAGGACGGCTTAGAGCCCGATAACACAGAAGGCAAGGCGGCTGCTTTGTAACAGCGCCATCTGCTGGAGGGAGGGCTGAAGTGATGAAGGGACTCTGTGGAACGCGAGAGACGTTGGAGGGCACTTACCCTTCTTGAACTTATGGACGGGGATCTTCTTCAGCTGTTCCTTGGTCAGCCGGTTCCTCCTGGCCCGTTTCCTGTGCTGCACGCAGCGTACGACCTGCAGAGCGGGGAGGCAGGGATGAGGCCGCAAAATGACCCCTGCATGACCTCCCACCGTCACCCCTGACAACGGCATTCCACAAAGGGCACTCGCCGACAAGTACAACCCGCAGGTACTGGAATCAGGTAAAAACAGGTGTCAAATATCAAGCACCTGTAAAACACTCTGACACAGGCCCCGTTCATGTGGCTACCGATATTATACAATTTTCCTTTTTTAACCAGCTATTTTAAACTTATCGGGCTTTATTGGGCTCAATAGATAGCATTGCTGCTTCACAGCCCCAGGGTTCGAATCTCGCCCCCACTGGAGGCCGGGCGCTTTGCGTACAACCTCTGTGTTCATACAGGCTTTGTTACATCTGTCTACTCCAACTGCCTACCACAGCTCAACTCCATGTAGTCTGGCTGACTAGTACCTAAAATTTCCCATAATGCATTTCTGTGTGTGTGGCCTGGGAAGGCCTGGCATCCCACACGGAGTGTCCCTGAGTCATCGAGTTACTAAGACCAGCCCCAGGCTCACTGTAACACTGTACCAGTGACCCCGTGCAGTGAATATTCGCAGCTAATTTTCCATACAGCACAAGCCTCGAGAATTTTAATAGCGCTCTCCGGTTTCATTAAAGGCCCTTATTTGATGAGTCACGGGTCCTGAGACTGGATGATACCAGAAAAAGGGGCCGCTCCAGTGCGTTTCCCAGACAAAACTAGCCGAAACGGCACAGAGAGCAAAATCACGGGGTTGCGTGTGCGAAAAATGAGAAGGCGTGCCAGAAGACGGCTCTTACCAAGATGGTGACCATGATGAGGATGATCATTCCCATGACTCCAGTGAAGGGGATGAGGTAGTAGATGAGAGGGAAGGTGAACTCGGGCCACAGGATCACATAGGACCTGAACGCGGGGTGAGATACCATAGTGTGACCTCTTCAAACCAGAGGATTGTCCAGTAAGCTCCAGAACAAGGAACGTCGGCCCCGGCAGAACCTCCAGTGCAGAGGAAGGCTCAGAGAACATCCAGCGGTCCATGTTCACAAGCAGCATCTCAACCCTACCAGCCTTCACCTTCAAATACGTTTGTTTAACTCCGATTCCTTGCCTACATCTTCAGCTAAATCAGGGGAGGGAAATCTTATCCACAAAGGCCCATCTAAGGGGGTGGAAATCAAAACATAGCTCAGATAAGACTATGACATCATCACGAGTGCCGACAAAGAAGAGCCTGTGAGGTCACCCATCAAAGGCTGCTTATGACACGCCGCGATGTCACAATGAGACCTCACAGATTCTGAAGCGTGCGCCGCCACGGGCGGTCTTACCCAGCCTCAGGAATAATGTACTCCTTTAGGGACAGGAAAGCGGTGTGGCTTGTGAACACGGAGGGAATCTCGATCTGCCCTGAGATGGTATCTGAACAGATAATGAACACAGAAGAGGAATTTATAGTCCAGACACACAAGGACACATTTTGAGGGTGATAATGGATAAATGCACTCAGGTTATGTCCTGCTATGCCGGATTTGGTCTGCGCAAATACAATGGTAATGGGCTCGATTCTATGACATGTGCCGATCTTTAAATCTCAAGGTATCATCCCCAGTTATTTATGAGAAGCTCCCCAGCGGTGGGGGAGGGGCCAGCTCACCGTTGTCGGAGGCCATGTTGAGCAAGGAGTCCGAGTGCACGTTGTACACAATGGCGGCGCTGTAGCCGGCCTGCTCGGCATGCAGAACCTGCCGGCACAAACCCGTCTCACATGGGCGCTTTACGCACACGCACAGGCGGAGGACATGTAAAGCTAGGCGCGTACCTTAACGTCGAAATTGCAGTCAAAGCGCCTGATGATGACGATGTACTTCGTGGCGTTCCTGTCGAAGGCGCGCGGGGGCGGGTCGATGGGGACGCAGGCATTGAGGGGGCGGGACTCCACCAAAATCCCCTGAAGGACAGGGGGAGAGAGATTGGAGGGGCATCCTTACGGAAGCCCGGCGGGACAATCTGCACGGCGTTCCAGCAGGTTGACCTCAGTCCGCCGCTACACAAACAAAGCGATATTCCGCCCCGCCCCCACCCACTCACCATCAAGCCGTCTTTGGGCAGACGGCCTCCAAAGAAAGAGGGCTGGTCCTCAAACACCATGGAGGTGCTGTTGCCATCGTGCTGGGGGGGGGGGGGGGTGTTACAGGATGAGGGTTAAACGTGTGGAACAAAAGGCCTGTCTCAAGGATAGATCTGCAGAGAGCTCACCAGGCCCAGGCGTGTGCACGTCAGTGAGAGTTTGACACATGCACACACACAGAAGTTACCGGATAGTTGAGTCCTTTCTTGCGAAATAAATCTCCCATTGTGGTTGAGCTATTGAATTAACTATGTAGCGGAAGCTTTTATACAAACCATGTACGTTTTGAAAAAGCTGGACCAACCTCCCTGGAGCAACTGGGGGTTAAGGGCCTTGCTCAGGGACCCAAAGGTGAAATTACTCTGTCGACCCTGGGATTTGAACCAACAACCTTTTTCCGATTACAGGTACAGCATCCTGACCCAGATAGCTAGATATAATCTTAAGGAAATAATTCTTTAGTAAGGAGTTTGCAAGGCTGGGATACTGCCATCATTCCCTACAGCCAGGTAATGAAGCAGAATTTCTGTCGTATAACAACCTGCCCCATATACAAGTAACACGTGAAAGCTGTAAGTGTGCGAATTACTCAGGAACAGGAGGAACTCACAGCGTAGATGGAGGAGTGAACTGTAGGGGGCGCCACCATGCAGCAGAGGGTCCCAACCAGAGCGGTCAGCTGGGCACCCCTGCTACCCAGGGGCGACATCCTGCACTGGTGTCTGGTGGCTGGGTTTTGGGGGCGGCAAAGGGCAAGGCCTGGGGTGGGCGACACATGACACGTTAGCACCTGTGCTGTAAGGAAGGGGGGGGAGGGGCTTCCAGTGACTGTGAAATATGCACAGCAGAGAACAACATTTCCAAAAACGAGATCAGCCAAAGATCCCTGTGCAAACGGGGAGCCGTTCGCTAAGCGCCTTTGGGGAAGGATCTAAATTTAAAACAAACTGAGCCCAACGAAATGCAAGGTCTGACTCCCCCCTCTGACATGCATATTTAATGAGTGCTTCGAGACGTTGGCTACAGTGACTCAGGGCAAACTCCCACTACGGCATTCCAAGACAGACTCCGCTCCGTAACCAGAAACCGGGGGGTCGGGGGTTTACCTGGAGTTGGTGGTGACCTCAGGAGGCTGTGAGATGAAGGTTCATCTGCACTTGGCCTGTCAGACACATTTATAACATCGGTATTATGCTTTTTGCAGGGTGTGTCATTAACTATATCAAGGAAAACAACTTGCTGTAGACCAAAGAAAAAGCATAATTAACATAAAATTAACAGACAGAACCTCATTGGTCAGTTATTGAACCAAAACCAAACGCACAAATATAGTGGATCAACTTAAAGATAAAATTAGTTAAGGCTTCTCATATCCACTTGTTTATTGCCCAAATCTAAATATAAAATTATGTTAAGTGCAATACATGCCAGTTTCTGCAGACACCAATTCTTCAGGTATGACGGTGCGCTCAACTGTACTACTGAAATCTGACTCTCCTCAAGTAGTAACAATTAGATAGTTTAATACAAAAAGTAAATGCAAATGCAGATAACAGTCCTGAAAGTGAAAATCATCGGGTTTGTAAATCGTGCGGGTGTCTTACAGGGGTTGTTTACGTAAATTATGTTGGTAGAGGTGGTGAACAGCACAGCTCAGAGGCCAACCCTCAGAAATTCTTTAAGTTGATCTTAATTAAACTAAAATTTAAGCAAGAACTGTTTTCTTCACCAGTTACCTTTAGCCAGGATCTCACACGCGCTTCCAGCCACAAATAGGGGTTTCCTCCCTGACCTTTTTTTTACTTAGAAAGGCACCGACAAAATCCGTTTTACCGTCAGCGATTAAATCTGATCTATTTCCTTTTATTATTTTACGCCAGATTCTTTTGCAAGGAAATCCTTCTCCAGACGCTCCTGGTGTGACTGTGAGTCGGGTCTCGCCGGGCACTTTTGGATAAACCAACATATTTTTTCGCACCGCTGGAAATGAAAACACAGGACTCCATTGTGCAGCGAGCAACAAGATCAGTACTATTCATAAACATCTTAAGGCTTAAACAAGCCGGTGATAAAATTCATTTCGGATATATTTCTTTAGAGAACTGAGCAGTACATTGTTCTTTTTTGGCACTACGTGTGACATGGGTTTTGATGCATCGCACCGCGTTTTCACGTCGGTGACACACCACCACAATTTTCATGGAGCCGATTCAGACTTAATTTCTACAGTTACAGATTGATGGACAGGGGGGCTGAGTCTTTACTTGTGGAGGGGGGCGAATATGTATAATATAAAAAGCTATTCATGACTTAAGCCGATAAGTACACATTTATTTGGAGGGGGACGCTAGAAACATTTTTAAACTAAAAATGGGACTAAAGCCCCACTAAAATAGGCCTAACGACGCCCCTGCAACATCAGGTAAATAGCTGGCTTACCCAAGTACAAAATTATCCCAGCTGTGACCAGCTAGAAATTTTAAAGGACAGTGCGAAATTTTAAAGAGGTCAGACAGATGACAGTATACATTAATCACAATGCAGTCGCACAGCTATCAATGGTGTAGACACTTCTTATGACAATAAACATGCAGGGCTGGATAAAAGTCCTTACCTGGCTGCCGGACAACCGAAACGAAACCCATACAAGGAGCTAATGTACTATAATGTCGTATTTTAGGAGCAAACCAAGCGCCCCGAAAAGCCCAACGGCGCAGCGGTCGGCTAGCGTGCTATCCATTTACACACATTTACACACACACGTATGAACCCGACAGGCGTAAAAGCGGCACAGAGGCGGTGTAAAGAAGCGGCTTTCGCAGCACTTTCGCCTGTCAGCGCCATTCTGGCTGTCCGCTAAAAGCTGAACTTTCAGTAGCTAGCTACCTTGTTAGCTCCACTCAGAGGGTCCTGCCTGCTTCTTCCAGACGCTCCTCTGCTCCCCAGACAGTCACACGAATCGTAATGCTTGGAGTACTTATATAAATAAACGATGTTGAAATGTAGTTTTATGCAGTGGCCAGTTATTTTTTTATTAATTTCTGTTTTTAGTATAGATCTGATTCTTCCGTCCTCCGGTTTCCTTGTTTACGGGCCTCCGGCCAATGGCTGTGCCCAAATCTCGGACATCGCGCGTTGATAGGACTCGAGATGCGAACGGGTCCCGCCCTCTTCCGGGCTGACCAGTGATTGGATGGGGCGTCGCGTCCGGTTTCCGGTTTGTCTCTGTTGCTATGACAGGTATGATCATGTGTAGCCTAAAAAGGATTTTCTCGTGTGTGTGGGTTTCTATCACGGTGTGTAATGTGCGGGAAACACGGTTATCGTATCTCCTTAAGCCCCGTGCATCTTATTCTTGATAATCAAATTGATTTTATTAAGCAGACATTTTTGTCCCACATACGGTTGAGGATCGGAGAACAGGGTTAAAAGTGTCCTTGTTGAAACTGAGACTTATATTACTCTAAGAGCCACAGGATTTAAACCAGCAAGCTTCAGATCACATAGTTCTAACCCACAGGTTCACATTCTACGCACAGCTCTACTTGTGTTAGCATTCGTTGGAAATCTTCTGACATCTACCTATTCATATAAATACGAGGTAGGACTGCATTTACAATAGCAAAAATCTGCTAAAGTCATAGGGCTCTGTGCTGTACCCTAAAATAATGTAGTATATAAGTAAATATCAAGCTACTACAGGAAATATAGCCTTACCCCTAGCTAAGCTAAAACATATACACCACAAACAGTGTCAGTTACATTGAGATGAAAGTTTAGTCCCAAGAGTGTATGGCAAGAGAACAGAAGACGCTGTTGTGGTGGCTCTCTCCCATAGAGCCACTATGAACAATTTTCTTTTCTCCCAGCAGCCCCTTCTCATGCTACTTGTGGTTCAGATTAAGTCAACAAGGAGCTAAGCAGTTTTGGGCCTGGTCAATACTTGGCTGGGACACCAACTAGCAAAGCTGGGTTGCTGCTGGGAGAGGTGTTGGTGTGGCCACCAGAGGAGCCCAGCCTGTGCTCAGTGTGGATCCCCAAAGCCTCAGTACAGTGATGGAAACAGTGCTGTACAAATGGTGCCATCCTTCAAATGAGATGTAAAATCAAGCTCCTGACTCTCTGAGGTCATGAAAGACCCCTGGGCATCTTTTGAAAGAGTAGGGGTGATACCTCGATGTCCAGACTACAATTGCCCATGTGGCTTCCCAATCATCTCCCATATCTAACTGGTGAATTCTCTCCTGCCCCTTTACCACCTTAGCTATGGTGTGGTGAGCGTACTGGTGCACAATGGCTGCTGTTGCATCATTCAGGTTGGTGCTTCAAGTGCTTCCCCAATGGTTCTGTGAAGTGCTTTTGGTGTCTAGAAAAGCTTCGTATAATAAACATTCATTCAAAATGTGTTCCTTCCTAGCCTAATTCCCACTTATGACTTTAATTTTCCATTTAAAGGTCACTAATATAGAGTTAAAAAAAAAACCAATATCAGATAACCACAAACAGTTTATTCACCCACAATAACGTCACACAAAGACACAGCTCCGGAACATGGAAAAAAGCTAAAACTGTAAAATTCAGATTAAGGCAATCACCTTAAAAACAAAACGCTGTTTCATTTCAGGACAAATAGGAGCCAGTTTCATTCTAGTAGGACTTCATTTAATGTAGTACAGTGCTGTGAAATCGGTTTCCCGAAGTTTCACTTCATTCGGAGTGACTCCATTCATGGCTTTATACATTTTTTGGTAGATTCCTTTATTTTTCAGTGATCGTTTTATTTTGATCGCGGTGGCAGCGAACTAAAAAACAAGTTATTACCTATCATGATGCTACTATACATTTCTCAGATGGCAACGGAGAGGATGAGACAGTTTTCTGTAACACTTACATCGTGGTACATACACAATATAGTCCGTAAAATACAGGCAGCTAGTCAGGTTATGTAAATACAGTGCCTAATACAGATCAGTCTGAGCTCCGGCGCATCCCTTACCTCAAACGCTACACCCAATAGAATTAAACTTAAAATAAAATTCAGTTAAACTTTGGAATACAAACTGAACTAACTAAACATACATCCACATGAATTAGTACATTTCGCTTACGTGACTTTTGATTTCAAAGGGCAAACTGCACCACGTGTGCAATAAAATCCACTTTTTGGCCACTAAAATAGATGAGGTTATCTTCTGAATCGTTATACTCACCAAACAGGAGAAGTATGTCTTACGGTTTGATATAACTAACAGGTATCGCTAAAAATACTGCATTGTTATATACTTAAGTACTTTATAGCACATTATCGTTGTTTAAGACGTGATTTGTGTGTGACGCCATCCAGTCAGCGCACCCAGGCTCCTCAGCGATTGCAAATTAAGCACTTGGTAAATATCTTGAATTTTCTATATCAAAGTAGCCGTATAGTTGAAAATTGCCCTACGAGTGAGAAGACAGTAAACCCAAATAGAAATAATAACCATCATAATAGTAATAATAATTAAAATAAAAAACAGACAACTGTATAAGCAATCTAAAATCAATATGGGAGACACGGCTTTCCTTTCAGGTCGTCAAAGCCAGTGTGCTATAGTGTACTATTGCCACCAGGGGTCGCTAACACACATTTCAAGAACAGTCACAACCAAACTCAAAACATGGTTAATAGAATGAGTGCACCTGCTTAAACCTGGAACATCTTAAGACTACCATTATTTCAACTGGATACTGCATAATGAAGTATATTCCGTGGTAATTATTCATTTAAAAATTTTAAACCAGAATCAAACACTAGAGAGGAGAGACCAGGGGGATAGTTCCCACTGGCCCACTGACGTCAGAAACGAAAAGCTTGGAACATGAAGTGGAAGACGGCACACAAACTCCAGCGCAGAGACCGCACGGATCACAGTACAGCAGAAGCGGTGGGCGATGCAGGGCCCGCCATTCCAATGCCTTGTACGTACCGTACGTGTTTCGTTAATTCACAGCTCTTAAATTAGCAAAAGTTTACTAACTATTAAAACCCTTGTTCTCGCTACCCTGTTCGCTTTCTCTCTCACACTCTCTCTCCCGCACACCGCTACGCACGCGCATACGCACACACACGCATCAAGATAGGCTGCTGCCGCTGCCGTCTGCCGCCGGCTCCTCGCCCTCCCTCTTCTGCCGTTTCTTAGCCCGGATTTCGTTCATCGCCTCCTCGATAGAGCGCGTGTCCCTCTTATTGGCCACGGGCACTGGTGGTGGGGAGAACAACGACAATAAAATAAAAAGAGACACATAAACAAATCAGCAAAGACTGAAGGAATATTTGGATGGGATTAGTTTTAAATGGGGATGTAAAGAAATGCATGCAATGGCATTAAATGCGTTATGGATGCATAATGGATTAAATGCATTTTAATCCAGTATGAATCTACCATATCGGTTATTATTACAAGCCTCCACACCGAATTACCCTCTGCATTTCAGTGAATACAGACCTCTTTCGATAAGAGTCCAGTCCTAATTATCATCGGCAATAAGGTCATATGTACAGGGGTGTATCTACAGGGGTGCAGAAGAGGACAGAGGCCGCTGTGACACTAACCACAGCCGTACGCGCGGTTAGCCTGCAGCGTGTGCGCGGCGTCTTTGGCTGCCGAGGTGCCGATCAGGTGGCTGTACTTGTCGCGGTAGTTGGAACTGGGTGAGGCCGCCCGCTTCTGGGTCCGGCTGGCCTCATGCTCCTCCAGCACGGCCTGCTCCTGCAGGGGGGGGAGAGGAAGGGGATAGGCGGCTACCACCAGGTGGACTGGAGACCACTAACCGAGATGGTCAAGAACATGGCAAGTAATTTATCCATTTATTTATTTTCATTCGTTTTTTTTTGTTTATTTATAGCAAAGTTTAATAATCCAGAGGTGGAAAGTTCAGGTTCAGAAATGACAAATCCAGACCATGATTTTCTTTCAACCAACCAATTGAGTTTAAAGAGTCACAGTCACAGAGTACTGAACTGGTTGGTTGAAACAAAATCCTGGTCTGGATTTGTAGTTTCTGAACCTGAACTTTCCACCTCTAATAATCTTTCTTCAGGGCCTTTGACTAGCTGCTCATTGAATGAAAAACAGAGGATGTTACTGGCATCCAGGTAGCTGTGTGAACCTAAATATGTCTGGTTATTTTATTTTATTCTAAGCTCCTTCCAGCATATAAAAACGCCTTTGGGAATAAGTGGTCCTGAGTCGTACCCCATCCAGGGTGAACATCCTTGTGCCCTGTGCTCAGTCTCCAGGCCCCCACGGCCCTGAGCAGCAAAAGTAGATAGAAGATGGATGATCCCAAGCAACCTGTCTTTTCAAATCCCATATATGCTCAAATTTTTGACTTAAAGTGCTTTTAAAAGAGGAACCAAATACTGCTCTTATCTAAACAGAATGTTTTGGACACCAGTCTATTGGTAACCGTGTTATTCTCTGTCTCATGCAGGGGGTGTTTTGTGGAGGGTATGGGGATGCATTTGACCTTCAGTCTACGCCTCTGCTCCGCCTTTTGGGGGTCCCATTCCTCCCCCTTCCGATAAGCTTCCAGCTCCTCGTCTGACGGGGCGAACTCCTGAGCGGGAGAAACGCGTCATCAGACCGTCAGACGCAGCCTCTCACGTTCCCAATAGGTCCCAGCAGGAAACACAAGGAGCTTCTACCTTCTTGAATATCATGACGTATCTTGTCTCCTCGTCCTCGCCGAACGAGAATGACGTCAGTCCGGCAACTTCTACTACGTCATGCCTGCGAGACAGGGAGGAATGTTACAGCTATGCAGAAAATGCAGTTTCCACGTATTTAAAGCGTTAAGGCTGGTTCATACTCCTCCACGCATGCACAATACTCGCGCATCCGCACTGTGTCAGACACTGGAATGTTCATACTTCTCCAGTCAAGCTGAGCACTTTGCACATGCGCACAACGTAACGTAGAGGAAACGCATTGTGCCCATGTGCACATTGCGTACTCGCTACATCATTCCACTACAGATATCGAGGAGGAAGGGCTCGTGCATGCGCAGTGTGTCCAGAGCTGCAGACACACCGTCTGCTCAGACTCAAATTTGGAGTGCAGCATGCGTTCGTCCACGGAGTGACGCTATGACGTAAAACGCATCGTAAACCCTATCAGGATCGGACTGAGGTGAGAACGCAGAACGAGCATAGTAATACGATTACAGTGCATGGTGATGCTGCAGTAGTGGTCATGGGCTCATCTTGAACCATCCTGGATCTTAGCTAGCACGGCAAGTAGGTAGCTAGCTTAGCATCAAATGCTAGCATTTCCTGTGACCTACATAGCTAGCTATTATGATAACCGACTATCATGAGGAAACTAGCTAGTTTTATGTTGATGCCGACTGGCTGATGCTAGAGCTTAATGGGTTTACAGTCCTTCTCTTGCAGATTTTCGGTGCATCCTTTATCCTATTCTCCCCCCTGTTTTGGAGCTACCTTCATTTGTTCTCTGTGATTCTGAGCTTGCAGGTCCACAAACCTATTAGCTCACCAGGAAGTTGCCCAGTATGCCAGATAACCAGTCCAGGCCATGCAAATGCAGGGAAATTTGGCTGCAAAGCTTTCGCATGCATCATTACACATTTTTTTTTTTGTAGAAATCAGCCAAGCTGAGTTATATTAGACACAAGGATTCTGCAAACGTGGCGTCACGTACAGGATACTCCTCTCGATCTTCCCCATGGGGCTATACTTCTTCTTCTGGACACTGCTGTCCTGGATAAAGTCCGACACCTCTTTCTCCATCTAAGGCCAAAGACAGACGCCTTATTAATGACACATTTTTGACAGTCTGGGCAGAGCTGGTATACTTCAGAGCAGGAGTCTCTAACCCTGGATTTGGAAAACTCTGGGTTGTGTTTCCCAATCTGGTCATCAGAGACCTACAGAAAGTCCACGTGTGCTCCTGGCAGGGAGCAAAAATGCGGACCGTCTGGTAGGGAGCAAAAACATGGGCCGGCTGTGGGTTGCCCAAAGACCAGATTGGGAAACACTGGTATAACATCTTGGTTTACTTATTTCCCATGACAATTTATCTTTCATACCCTGCTTCTTAAGTTCACCTACTTCACCATTAAGCTACATCAAATCTTGCAACTTATGGCGACAGCCTGATGGAAGTGTCCATCTACCTGATCTTGGGTTCAATATATGCAGACATTTGGGGCACTTTGACTGGCTAGTTCACAGCTAGGTTACTAAACTGTAGTCCTGCTTCAAGGCTATGAAATTACAGCCCCATGGGGAGTGGGGGGTGTAACTACAGAAGAATTTCCAACTCCCATTACATCACTGCAACCTCAGGAAGGCAGTTCAGTCGGGACGATTAGCTGGATCAGTTCATTCCTCAACTGCAACAACTATCTCCTAGACTTGCCCCTCCCAGCCTGTAACTTAATAACCCTGTTTTATAGAAATCTGATATTTACTGTAAACAGTTATCCATCATACTAATGATACATTGAGTTATCCATCTTCCACCCGCTTAACCTGGTCAGAGTGACAGGGCGGCCTGAAGCCCATATCAGCCTCTCTCTCTCTCTCTCTCTCTCTCTCTCTCTCACACACACACACACACACACACACACACACACACACACACAAGACCCCCAACCCAGGAGGTGACAACCACTAAGCCGCCATGCCACCCATTAAACGTTAACAGCAATGATTCGTTTGTTTTTCTAGCGTTCTGGAACCTTAAAGTATTTATCTGTAAGTATCAGAGGCCAAAGAGTATAAAGCAGAAAAGTAAAGTGGAGTTTCTTACTCGTTTTCTGAAATCAGCTTTCTTTTTCTTTTCGTCTTCCTGCATTTTCTTCATCCTGGCTGCCTGCTCTGCAGTGAGAAGCAGATAACGTGTTTTCCCCGTCAGTTAAACCAGACTACCCCAAGCAGTTCAATGTATCCTTAGTTATTGAAAACAAATCATTTGCCTCTTGGATTACAAGATGATTTAGGATTGAATTCGAAGGAAAAGGTTACGGCAGCGTATTTTACGGCAGCATAAATATGCTGTTGTGAAATGTGTGAACTCAGTATTATAAAATATCCAAACCAAGCATACATAATAAAGATACAATTCGATATTATGGGCCGAGCATTTTGTTTAAAGATCGAGACGCAAGGCTCACAGTTTAAATTCATTACAACTGACGCAATTTTGGTAAATTTGGCAAGCATAAGCTGTTATTGTTTGTGGTCAACAGGCCAACAAAACAGGCACGTAATACTAAATTACAATATTAAATAATACACAAAAATAAAAATAAATACACAGTACAGTTCCACCAACAACTGGAACGGTCTGTACAATTTGGAACATGCAAATTTATTAACATGGTAATATTAATGAGAATGACTCAAAGTTACTCATTAAATCAAGATTTTGTTTGTTGTAAAATGACCTTCTCCATATATAAAATGTTTCACCATAAACAGACATTTAAGACATAAAAAGACGAAAAATACATTTCATCAGTTTACTTGGCCTTTATGATGTGGACTAAGTGCTGCCTATAAGCAAATCTCAAAATACAATACTGTCGCTTCAACCAATAAGCACAAAGTTATTTATACAAAGAACCAATAAGATCACAGAGAAGAGTGAATTATGACCGAGAAGTATAAGTGAAACGGCGAATAACGAGCCAATCGTTGGAGCGATGAGCCCGGCTTAACCAATAAGATGGCTTTAACGTACCCAGGCAACTGAATAGAATTAGTTCCTGCAGATGCTTAGCTTCTCGGCAAAGCTAGTAGCCAATATGGAGTCGACGAGCGATATGAATTTAGAACCATATATTACAATGTGTAACCTTTCTCCGGAAATGCTATTATCCGTGAGACGGAGAGGCAAATGTGACTGTTAAGGTCAATTCGTACCTCGAGCTTTTCGCCGGCTTTCCTGGTCACCGACGGTTGGAGGTTTTTCCATGGAGCTCAAGATCGAGCCCAGAAGGTCCGCCATCTTGGACTGAATGAGCGGCGGCGGAAGCGCGCGGCTTAAAGGGATAGTGCTCCGGGCTCGGAACATGGGAACTTGACGCAGGCGCAGTTTTAGGCGCATCAATTTTATTTGCATTCTCAATCACTGAGATTATTCGCAGACTGGATTTTTTCCCCAAGTTGTTTTCCGAGCAGTTTTGGAAACTCCTGCTTGTAGGATATTGGCATCTCGGTGGGTAGTATTGTTGTCTCAGGCAGAACAGCCCGGTTTTCTTCTGCAATCATAAGACGTGCATTTAGGTTGATAGGAGTCTCTAAATTGCCCATAGTGTGTATGTGCCCTACTGTATAGTGGCATCCTAGCCAGGGTACAGAGGTGGATAGTTCAGGTCCAGAAAGTAAAAATCCAGACCAAGGTTTTGTTTCAAACAGCCAGTCGAGTACTCTGTGACTGTAACTCTATACTCAGCTGGTCTGGATTTTTACTTTCTGGACCTGAACTATCCACCTCTGTCTGGATGTACCTTTGTCCTGTGCCAAACGCTGCCTGGAATAGGCTCCAGATGCCCACATCACTGTCCAAGATATCAGATCTTAAAATGCATATCTAAAAACCTACATAAATCACATTGGGTTATCACAGTCCAAAGGGCAGCTGTTTGCCTACGTTTTATATCCAGTATGATTATATTATTTATTACTATATTATTATAAAAGTTGCATAATATACAAGTCAATTGGGGACAGTGGAGGTCTGATGGTTAGGGACCCATATTGGTGATTGAAAGGTTGCTGTCTGAAAATCCCTCACCAGCAAGGTTCTGCCCCCAAGCACTGCACCCCCAGTGCTAATTAATAGCTGCCCACTGCTATGTCACATATGGGTTAAATGCAGTGGATACATTTCATTGTTGTGCACTGGTGTGTGAGCAATGACAATTAATCACCCCTTATAACTGATTGATCTACTGTAACAAAATTCCACTGAATTAAGCTGTTGTTACAGTGGTGTCATGAAATACATTTACCCCGGTTTTGGACCACTCTCGATGGGAATGATTTCATGTATAGTCTTGCATCTCAGGTTTGTCCATTTCACCACGAGGAATCACATTTTAATGGCAGTTTACATAATTGCACACTGCAGGATTGTACAGGCGGGGTGTTGGGACATCATGTTATCTATATGACTGCAAAACCATCAAGAAAATGTTGATTTGAGGACTCCTTACAATCTCCCTCTTCCTGCCTGCAAGTACCAAGAATATTTATCCATTGCCTCACATTAAACTAAGAACCACCGAACCTTCCACGCATAAAGGAACATGTACCCTAATGTGGATCTTTGAGGAAAAAGGTTTGGAAAGAAAAAAAAAAAAGTCAATATACCCAAGAACACTTGCTGGAAAAATATTACATTTCCCCATTTATTACTTTCAGACTGTGGATCTGGTTTACATCACTTCATTAAAACCGATTTGTTTAACATGTATTAAACTGGGGAAAAAAACTAAAACACAGGCACACTACAACACTGCTAAATCAGGGTTGATTCAAACTTATTTCTTCTTAAAAAAACAGATACGACTCGTAAGTCAGCACTTAAGCTAGACTTGTTGGAACCAAATGAAACGAAACGACCTGGCAGTAAAATTTAGCAGTTGTGCAGGTCATCGTCATCAGTCGCATAAGACGTTAGTATCACGGCATTGAAGAGGAACAGTCCTTGTGTCCTATGAACCTATGGATTCGGTGTTTGCTTCAAAGAGCAAATCTTTCATAAACCAACTTAACCTTTGAAGTAGCCAAATTCAAAACATACAAACTTAAATTTTTAAAGTGTCAAACCATGGTTGAGATGTGGTCAACGTTTTAATTACTGCAGCAGAAGCCAAAAATGTAAACATTCTACAGTCATGGTCTGAAGACTACAAAAGACGCTCTTAAAAAAAATCAGTCTCAGTTCAACTGATTTTTTTTTTCTTTTACGTAATCAGTTTCACACTATAGTTGAAACAGTATAGTATAGTATAGTATAGTATAGTATAGTCATCAAGAATGTTTCACTATGGTTTCTACTGCAAAATCTCCATAAAGTGAGAAGTAACATTTCCTCACCGACGGTCTAAACACTTACAAAGACCCAAAGAATGTTCTTATAAGACAAAAATGTAACAACCTAAAGTTCTTTTTTAACCCTCATCAACATTCAATAAATTCAACTCAAGGTGCAGGAAGGTGGCTCTTCTATTGTATTGCAAATCATAATGTAACATTTTCCTGGTGATGTTTGGAAAACACACCTAATGAACATTCCTCTAAATCAAAATCTGATTTCATGACATTCCGACTACACGCTAGAAGTACTTTCTTTTAACGCAGCATTTCCCAATCCGGTCCTCGGCGACTCCCACACAGTCCATGTTTTTGCTCCCTCCCAGCTCACGGGTAGCTGGCTGGGAGGGAGCAAAAACGTGGACCGTCTGGGGGTCCCCAAGGACCGGATTACGAAACACTATTTTAATGGATATGCCAGAAAGCCCACCTGGATGTTTCTGGTCTACGTCTAAAACTGTCGCATTAAAATTCATTACCTGCTCAATGGAGAACTCCGGAAAAAGTGAAAACAGGTGTTTATGAGGCTTGAAAATGATTGCTGGAAGACAAACCAACAACGTTTCACTCAACTGGTGGCATGTGAGGTCACCCTGTGTGTCAGTCAGAGATCAGGCACCACACATGGGTTTCCGAAAGCTTTTGTCGTGCGTGTGCACGACCATACCAAGTACCTTGGAGGGAAATCCAAGGATTAAGCTAGAGGCAAGTCAGCCCACCTACTACATGGAGGGGAGGGGAGGTCTGGTCAAATGGTCAGCAAGCAGTCAAGGGTATCAACGCATGGTCAGTGGGTCTTGGGGGGCCACTTATGCCTAGTGCAGCTGTATAGATAGGGGTGTTTGGGGCAAGTTGGACATCAAGTCTAAAAGTTGGGGGAGGGGTTGATGTTGTCCATCGGGATATCCACACTGTTCAGCTCCACCAGTCGGACATTAGGAGTCAAGAAAGTACACCTTGTAGAGCCTGTTCATCTGCTCCAGGAAGATAAAGGTTAAGACGGTGTGGGGACCTAGACGGGCGTAGTAGGGCGTGAAGCCCTTCCACAAACTGAAGAAACCTTCCTTTCGTATCACTTTGAAGAGCACATCCTGATGGAGGGAGAGAGAGAGAGACAGTGGAGGAGAAAAAAAATAAAAAAATCGAAAAAGACAGATAGAGTAGCATTACCACTCTGTGAATGACCAATGCCCACGAATTCAGAGTTTATGTGCGTGTAACAAAATCACTAGTGGAAGACACGACAGACCCAGAAATACGTCTGGCCTTGTTATTGTGGTATATAAACTCCAGGAATGTGGAACAATTAAACAAAACACAAATGAGGACGGGGAAGAAAAAGGAAATCAAAATCAACAGAAAACAAGAGCGACCAAACGAAAATAACAGATCCCATCTGCAGGCAAATCCTAAAACAGGGAGATCGGTATGCATCGTCTGTGTAAGTGATAATTATACAAGTGTGCATTTTATTTATATTAGTGTGTGACTCCTGTAGGATTAGTCAGTCCTAATGTGCAATTCCTCCTCTTACCCTTGCGCCCAGCTCGAACCCCTCCCCCTCTCGACCAGACCCCCCCCCCCCTTCCTCCACTTGAAAAGGTCAAAGCCCCAGCTGCCTTTAAGAATAGCCCTCAATGTGGGGGGGAGAGGCGGCAGACTCACAAATCCGTTCTTATACTCTGGCTTGCCGTCGATCATCCTCATGTTCTGAATCCTGGGTGGGAGAGAAGTTCACACAGGGAGGGGCACCCATCAGATTTAATTTATCGTGCATGAGGGAGGGGCTGTTACATGCCATTCACAAACATTAACCATAAAACGATGCATGAGCAGCATTCGACAGCTAGGATATAACGTATCATTTCCATCCCACCGTCGTGTCTATTTTTGTGGTTGATATGCAAGTTTCACTTAAGAGTTGATGGCTGAGTCTGTAACCGCAGATACCAACACACGTGTAAACACGGAGTACCAAAGCGTAGGTGTGGATTGATGGATAGAGGGGAAGAAAAGGTAAACAAAGGAAGAAAAATGAATATATTAACCTAGTCTTGACAATGTCCACAGGCATGGATGCAGCAGTGGTAACCAATCCGCTAATCATACTGGCACAGAAGTGGCACAGGATATCATCCCTGAAGTACCCTGTGGAGGGATGGGGGGGGGGGGGGGTACACAGACAGGAGAGAGAGCTCGTGAGGAAGGGAGACTGGGCATCCTGGTGCAATCAATGTTCAAACCCTCACAGAGGGTGATCGAAGCACCGCGACTCGTGTTCAGGGTGGATTGTAAACACGGCGGTAACCTGTCCATCCATGCACCCAACAGCTTACTTTGAAATGGAAATTACAATATTTCTACCATTTTTTTGGAAAAGCTATTAAAAATTCCATGATATTAATAGGAAAACCAGGATCAAAACATGCAGAAATAGCTTTTATCGTGACAGTTTGGATGCCATCCTAACCAGCGCCGGGCTGTCAGGGGGTGACTTTCAGCACTTACGAAACCATCTTCCGTCTGAGCCAAATGTAAATAGAGTTTCTTAAAATCGAGTGGGTAGTTCTGTGGGTCCCAAAGACTTATCAGACTGCCTGGTCACCCGACATCCCTATTTCAGTTTAAACTGGTTTCACCAGCATGTCTCTCTAGAACAGCATTTATATTTTCTTTCATTAGCAAAAAAAAAAAAAAGAGTGAAGAAGCAATGCTGACTCCTGTAGAGGAAGGACAACAGAACGATTGATCCTACTGTCACTTTAAAATCTTTCTCAGTAGTTTTCATTCTCCATTCCATCCATGTGCTATTAGCGGATCACTTACCGGAGTCTAACAGGGCCTGCTTTGACTGCGAGTAGGAGGCCAGCTGGGCAGCATTCACCACTACAGCCCGCGCCATGGTGGGTATACAGCCCTGCAAAGCACACGTTTAAAAACACGCCAAACCATCCGCTTTCCAACCAATGATCAAATGCGGGGTTGCATTTAGATTGGGGCACAAGGCAGGGGGACACAATGAGCAGGGAGTTATCCTATCACAGGTTCTAATTTCCCTTAAGACAGACACCATTGCATGGCACGCAACACCCTCGTCACTTCCTGTCTGCCGGCCTGCCATCTGGACTCCACTTCCTGTCTGCCGGCCTGCCATCTGGACTCCACTTCCTGTCTGCCGGCCTGCATTCTGGACTCTACTTCCTGGGTGTTTCTCAACACCAAGAACGCGAAGATCGTACTTGTGGTCTTGGCAAGACCGGTCTTGCTAACTTGTTTCCCAAAAGCGAACTTTGGGAATAACGAATTGTGGGACTCATCTCGTTTGGCAAGGAAGCAACCGATGCATCCTTGATTTGTGGCGGCGCAAGAACAACATCCGGGGATTTTTACAGTCCTCTGTACTTCTGTTCTTGAGTATTGGAACCGGTCTTCAGAAATGGAAGATGACGTAAAACGGGTACGCGAGAACACAAGTACGGTCAAGTACACAATGAGGAACACCTTGTCTGCCAGCCTGCCTTCTGAACAACAGGCCTCAAGGTAGCAGTAGGCCTCTTTAATTCTAGTGACGCTCAAATCCATGATCAATTCACAGACTGAGGTAGAAAGTTCCAGAACTACATCAGGAAGGAACAGAGCAAAGATGATACCCACCCTCCAGAGTGTAGTGACCCCCTCCTCGCGGGTGATTCTGATCAGGGCGTTGAAGACATTTGTGTACCCCCTCCTCTGATCTGGGGGCAAGCTGGGGGCAGAAGCAGCAGTCAGTCAAAACTCCAGCATTGAAAGCAGCCCCCAATATTCCGTACCACTGACAATACAGACACTAATCACCAAAAAGAGTGAAAATATGGGGTTGCAGAGATTAAGAGACATTAATTCCTGTATTCCTAGCCGTAACCATGTAATGATTTATTTAAGAGCCTAGAGTCTACAGCTCAAAACCTTGTTAAGGACTTTCACTGTACGAATTCAATGATAGACATTTTAATAAAAATGTATTTATTTACCACAGAAATGGTATTTATTGGTGTTTTAGCAGTAGCCTACATGGTTTTCTTTCCTTAAACAAAACATTTTACCACGGACACAGATGAGTCTTGCCAGACAGGTTGACGATCCCTTCTAATGACAAGAAAAGGTATTGTATTGCATTGAACAATACTCTATTCTACTCCATTCTACTCTATTCAATTCTATTCCATTCTACTCTATTCAATTCTATTCCATTCTACTCTATTCAATTCTATTCCATTCTACTGTATTCTATTCCATTCTATTCAGTAGACCTCTGATACGGTGTACTCCTTATTGAAGATAACAGTAATAATAATAATAATAATAATAACATTAATAATTATAATAATATCATTATTAATAACAGCAGCAACAATAATAATACATTTTTATGAATATTTACTTCCTTAATATTCTGTGTCTCAGGTTGTTCAATTTGTGTACTGTGTACTTTTTGATCTCTTGTCTGCACTATGCTGTCTTGGTACTTCTATCCACATTTGTCAGTCCTCTGCATAACTTGTTGCTGGATGCACTGGAATTTGCTGATGGGATCCCTAAAGTTCACCTTATCTTTAGCCGGAGTTCTGAGTGTAAGGGCCTACACCCGACCCCGTTCAGGTCAGCTCACCGGCCGTCGGAGGTCATGCGGATGAGTGCCACCTCGGCGGGGGTCCCCACGAAGGCCCCCGTGGCCCCCGCCGTCATGCCGATCAACGCCTTCAGGAAGAAGTTGGGCGGCGTCCCGTCCGGCTTGGACATTCGCTCAAAGAGCACCGTGTAGATCCCAAGGCGCGTCGTCGTGTAGGTGGCCTGCCTCAGCAGCCCAGCTGACAGCCTGAAGAGGGTTGGGGGGGGGGGGGGGGGCACGAAGGGGGAGTGAAGTGGCACGAGGATAACCCAAGTGTATAACGAAGCAACTCCGACAGATACGCTACTCAGAAACCTATATAGAGGGAGAAATACGTTCCCTGGAGTAAATCAAAGAAAATCTTAAAATACAATAATAAAATAGATTAAACAAAGAAAAAACAGAAATGCGCAAATGTGCAATGTGTAAGAAGTAAGGTTTGGTAGCCTTACTGCCTGAGGGTAAAAGCTGTTACGCTACACAATGGATATATGCTCAGGTTACCTGTAAATATCACAGTACCTGATGTGTTTGTATGTGTGTGGACATCGGCCCAGAGAAAGTCACAATTACACAATTACGATTACGCCATTACAATTACACAATTACAATTATGCCATTAGTTGCACATCACAATTACACAATTACAATTGTGTAATTATGATCATAATTACAACCACACAATTACAAAATTACAATTATAACCAGTATCACCCACTTTTGGTCTTACATACGGCTCCATTTTTTTTTACATTTTTGAGAGAAACCAGAATGGGAATGCTTTGTTTTCGGTATGCAAGTGGCTCCCCCCACTGGGCTGTGGAGTCTCACCCGGTGTAGATGCCACGCACGCCCTCATGCCGCAGGATGCTGGCCACGGCGTGCAGGCTGGTCTTGTACTCCCGCGCCTTGCTGCCCTGGCCGCTCAGCTGCATGCGGTTCTTCACCAGGTCCAATGGCTGCACAAAGACAGTCGCCGCCATCCTGCAGGAAGGAGGGCAGGGGGGCAGGTGTTGGTGGGAGGGGTCCAACTTTATACCATGAGAGTGCGCCGCGGGGGACCCAATGCTATCCAAATGCAAATCCCAGCCTGATGGGGGATTGTAAGGAGGGCCACGATTCACCACATCCTAAATCTCTCCCCAAAATAAGTGCTGCTTGGGCCAATATTGGATGCATTGGGTGTCTGAGTGAATGAGGGGGTTATGAACAGGATCAAGGAGCGGGGAGGCACCACAGTGTATTTTGAATCTTGAATGTCTTGCAACACAGAGGCTGTCCAATGGATGCAGCATAGGTGGAAAGTTCAGGTTCAAGAAAGTACAAATCCAGACCAAGATTTTGTTTCAACCAACCAGTTGAACACAGAGAGTCAACAGTCACAGAGTAGCCATAGCCAAATGAAGCTGTATTTTTTGACCCCAAGTGGTTCAGGAAGCTTCATTTGGCCATCACATTCACAGAGTACTCAACTGGTTGGTTAAAACAAAATCTTGGTCTGGATTTGTACTTTCTGAAGCTGAACTTTCAACCTCTGGGAAACTTCAATCTACAGAAACGGGAGACCTAATTCACCACCACACCTACCCCTAGCCCTAACTCAGATTGTGAGACTGATGCTGAAGCAAATTCCTCCTCACCACCAGTCACTCGATCCTGCAACCAAAATCCACCTTCAAAGCATTAGGAAGCTCTACCACTGAGGTCAGCCGTCTTGCCCTCGTCCCAAATCAGCCCAAAGTCTGACCACGCTCATACATTGACCAGCGTCTGGTGGGCAGGGAGCTTTAATTTAGGGGTGACCTTTTACCTCCCGTGACGAGGGCAGTAACGGAAGCTCTCGGCTCCGCGGCTCGGAGGTAAAGGCACTTCCCGCAGCATTTCAGCTTGGCATCTAGAAGAACGAAACGCGGCCAAACAGAACACAACCTGGGTGTGACTCCTGATGCAGCACTCTCCCACGCTGGCTCACTCCGCCACTTTTATTCGCAGGAAAACACTGGACGGCAAGAAGCGCAAAATGGATTTCAATCTTTACTGCCGCCACAAAGTTACAGGAGGCCACTGAACCCCCCAGATAAGATGTAACATTATCTACCATAATTATCTGTCTTCTTGTATTGTTTTATAACACCCATATCGGGAAAACAAGCTAAGGTTATCTTCTCTGTCACCAGACCCCTGCCGTTTTATCAGTTAATAAGCCACATAAAATGACAATACAACGAGAATCCACCCGACACCAAGGTATATTTACTAAAGCCACAATGCAGAGGGAAGACCCTGCAAATAGTGAAATACCTCCACGTACTGTTTTTCTGTTTCTAGCACGGTTACAGATTCGGAACACCCCCAAGTACACGCATACACTCACATAAAAGTCCATTTACTATAGTAAGGATCAATCCACGTGAATTTTGAACTCTGGATGAAACATTTATTTGATAATGTCACGCTGATGTAACAGTATCCTGGCGCAACCATTAGAACATAAACTAGGTGATCTGTCCTCTGTTGGGTCTTGGTTGCTCAAAAACTAAGCTCTTTAAAAGAGAATTAATAACCTGCCGCCGAACAGCCACGTCCCCTTTCGCATGTTTGTGCAAGAAGTCTGTCACAGCTTTTGATGTTTTTAGCTCAAAAAGTGCATTTCCTTTCAACCTTGCAAGTTAATGGATTGTCTTCCGAAGTTGGAATGATTCCAAAAATGCAAGAGGTTATTATGGTGAACATACGACATTTCTAGAAAACAACGTAACTTTTTTGCGAAATTTTAAAGTGCCGATGGGGTTTGAGACGTGGAACTGATCAATGCAACGGTGAGTCCGCCTGGATTTTTTGTCGTTCCAGACGAGTCACTAGACATTAAAAGAGACTTTTAAAAAAAACATGCCTTTGATGTCAAACAGGCTCCAGACCATCGGCTTTCCGCTGGACATCCGCAGCGTCCCGACAGACTTTATTTACTCCGCGAGGACGCAGATCGTGCAATGTACAAAATGTACACAAGCTACTACAAAACGTCGATAAGCCCTCGGAAACCCTGCGTGTAAAACAAACTTACATATACGTCCGTAACAGGCACGTTCAACCACGCAGGCAAACCAAAGCCCTGCAATTCCACGTCAGTTATACAAGGATGCAGTGCGATAATACGTTTGGGGGGAAGCAAAGCTCAAGTTCAATTTCAAGCGTTCTGAAAAACATCAAATTTGAAATAAATGAAGGTTTACTTTAAAAGGTGCAAGAATTATAGAAACATAAAGCACCGCAAACATGCACGCACGAAATAACAGGCGGCAATAAGCGATGGCCGTTCTTGACATTTAACGTTGCCAGTGCATGGAACCATAGTTTGATGGGGGGGTCTGTACGGACACGTGAGTTATTTGTTGGGCCTAAAATAGCTGGCGACCCGGACAGCGAAACAGCCGTAAATTTGGCACATGCATATGAAAAAACGCGTGATTTATTTGACACAAACATTACCGTTTAACACTTACATTGATTCTTTTAGGTTAAACCTAAAAAAAGGCTTTAGAGATGGTATCGAGTGACCACGACACCATGACAACATAACCATCATCAATGTCATGAAGTGGCTCCAACGGTATTCCACACCAGCAATAGAGAAATTTAACCCATTTTACCCAAGCATCTTATACAGCAAAGCAATATGCAACCCAGACCTGGAGCAACATCAACCGCGACTTACCCGGCCAAACCGCCGAACAAAAACTTTATAGATTTAGGGGAAGTTTTGGGCTTTGGCGGTTGGGCTGCCATGTCGCCGCTGTTATTCTTGCTTCCTCGCTACAGGACGATCCGCTACAATGCCCTCCGATCCGCTGCTAAACCTGCTGCACCCGTCTCCGGCAAGGTGACACAAGCGCAGGCGGAGAGCACAAGCTACCGCTCCAATCAGCGGCTGGCGCACAGAAATAGTGTCATAAACACGCGTCCGCGTCATTTTAAAGCGACGTGACACGTCTGTTGCTGGTACAGATGTGAAAGTCGCAATGTTAGTGTGAGATGAAAAAACAGTAAATATTCCAGGTAGTGCTTTATATTGGGATAACGAATCTGGAAACGTGCCATTAAGGGTGTCATCCTTTCTTTTGTTTTTTTTTCGTTCGTTTTCTTCGTCTTCCGTTTCACCTGTTTTTGAAATATTGTGTACAAATGATGTAGGAATGTACGCCCACGTGAAGCGCCTTGGAGCTACTCTGATGTGAAAGGCGTTAAATAAAGATACGTTGAATTGAATGTCATGGGAAATGGAACAGTCGTGTCGAAGTGTGGATATAGTAAAGTTACATGGTTTAAATTCCGCAATGTAGTGGATATAGGAGAGTCAGGTCAGATGTTCTTTAAAATATGTTTTAGTTATACTGCATGTTTAAAATGATGTGGGTAACAATTAGACATAATCCTCATAAATTCAGTGGTAGGGGCGCATAGGAATGGATTAATAAAGTATCAAATAGTGTTGCTCTGGTGAAAAAAATAAACGGGAGCTTGGTGGTAACTTGCCCAATGTGTGCATTGTGACGGATTTAACGGGAAGTGTAGTGCTGGTGCAGGCAGATAAGAATGAACGTGGAAGGGATGCATTACAGATCAAGAGATTCATTAAAGGATCAAAAGAGACTTTTCTTTTACGGGAGGTCACCTCTTATGGTCAGACAAAAATACAAAACTGAATTTTATTCCCCTAAAATAATTTGAATTCTATTCCAGGAAGAAGAAATTGCAAAGTGTGAGACGTGGGACATAATGTACAGTCTATTAGTTGGGTTTTAATGTGTCTGAATATCTGCAACTACTATCTAGGGACATTACAGCCATAGTACCTAGCAGTTAGATTAGAATTAAATTAGAATTTTTCAAGAAAGCACATGAATTCAGGTGTTACAGTGATATTAGGATTATGAGCAATAAAAATGATGTGGTAGTTATGGGTGATTTTAATCTACTGGGGATGCAGTGGGACATTGTTGCTGGCTCTTCTGAAAATGAACTTGAGATGGTGGAATTAGTACAGGATTGTTTTTTTACTCAGTTTGTTAACACCCCTACCAGGGGAGATGCCATTCTTGATCTTGTTTTGTCTAATAACCAGGACAGGATTGGTAAATTAGACGTTTTAGAACCACTTGACAGTAGCGATCATAACATGGTTAAATTTGAGGTTAAGTTTAGTGCCCGAAGAGCAAAGTCCAAATCAAAAATATATAATGTTAGGAAGGCTAACTTCAATTGTACAGATCCAGCCACTTAAAA